GAATAGAAGTCTCTAGATGGGACATTTGGAGTGAGGTGTGGTTGATGAGTGATGCCGGGGTTGTTTTTCCCCTTTCAAATATTCTGGAACACTTAGTTGTGATCATGAGAAATCTGTACATAGACCAAGAGGCAGTTGTTTGAACAGAACATGGGGAACACTGAATGGTTTAAAATTAGGAAAGGTGTGTGCCAGGGTTGTATTCTTTCAACATACTTATTCAATCTGTATGCCAAGCAAATAATCTGAGAAACTGGATTATATGAAGAAGAACATGTCATCAGGATTAGAGGGAGACTCAGTAACAACCTAGAGATGATACAGCCTTGCTTGCTGAAAGAACAGGACTTAAAATACTTACTGATGAAGATTAAAGACCATTGCCTTTGGTATGGTTTGCACCTCAATGGAAAGCAAACAAAAACCCTCCCTCCCCACTGGACCAATAAATAAAATTCATATAAATGGAGAAAAATTAAAGTTGTCAGAGACTTCATTTTGCTTGGATCAACCATCAAATTTATGTAAGCAGTAGCCAAGAAATCAAACAATGTGTTACATTAGTCAAATCTGTTGTGCAAGATCTTTTTAAAGTGTTCAAGAGTAAAGATGTCAGCTTGATGACCCAAGTCATGGTGTTTTCAATAACCTCATGTTGTTGTTGTCAGATGCCATCGAGTCAGAACCGACTCATAGTGACCCCATGCACAGCAGAACGAAACAATGTCTGATCCTGGGCCAACTTCACTACCGCTGCCACACTTGCCACCTGGCTGATCCATCTCATTGGGGGTCTTCCTCTTTTTCTCTGACCCTCCATCTTACCCAGCATGACATCCTTCTCCAGCAACTGTTCCCTCCTGACAATATGTCTGAAGGATGAGAGACGAAGCTTAGCCATCCTGGCCTCCAAGGAGCATTCTTGCTGCACTTTTTCCAAAACAGATCTATTTCATATGCATGTGAAAATTGGACAATAAACAAAGAAGACCATAGAATAACTGATGCATTTGAGTTATGGTTTTGGTGGAGAATATTAAAAGTACCATGGACTGCCAAAAGAACATACAAATCTGTTTTGGAAGAAGTACAGCCAGAAGACTTCTTAGAATCCAGGATGGCCAGACTTCATCTCTCATACTTGGGACATATCATCAGGATGGGTCAGCTCCTGGAGAAGGACATCATGCTTGCTAAAGTGGAGGGTCAGTGAAAAAGAGAAAGACCCCTAAAGAGATGGATTGGCACAGTGGAAGCAACAATGGACTGAAACATAGCAATGATTGGGAGGTGGGCACAGGACCGGGTAGTGTTTTGTTCTGTTGTACATAAGGTCCCTGTGAGTCTGTACCAACTCCATGGCAACTCACAACATAGCAATAGGTAATACTGGGGTGAAATGAAATCTCATTATTGTTTTATTTGCATCTCTATAATGGCTAATGATGGTGAGTATCTCTCCATATGTTTGTGGACCACTGGAATGTCTTCTTTGGTGAAATGTCTGCCTCTGTCTTATGCCCATTTTAAAATTAATTGGATTATTTTATCTTTTTTTGTTGAGGTATTGATGTTTTCTATACATTTTAATGATTAGTCCTTTGTTTGATATGTCATTGCAAAAATAACACATTTTCCCAGTCTGTGGGTCCTCCTTTTACTATTGGTGAAAATATTTTTTTCTAAGTTTTTATTGGGAATTGAGTCATAGTTTACATGGGAGAATATTGGTTTTACACATCATTTCATTGCAATTATTATAATCTCCTCTGTACATCATTCTTCAACAGTGTTTGCTTCTATTCCCTATGCTGTTGTTGTTGTTTTGGAGGGGAAATTACACCAAAACACTCAGGAATATATAATCATTTAAACAGCCAAAGGGCACATTCTGCAATCCTGCCTCCTGGCCACCAGCACACAGCCTTTCTCTTTCCATGAGTCTAGAGTCCTCAGCTACTCTATTTCTCTGTCTTCATCTCTGGTGTTGCTGCTTCTCTGAATAAGGCTCCACATTCCGCTCGTGCTCTTCTCCCTTGATGGTCCTAGGGTCCTCTATTTCTGGACTGTAAGATTAATTATTCCCCTCTTTTTTGTTACAAAATGTCTACCTTTACAATTGTGACAGTAGCAATTAGTCATGATAACAATTACTATTGAATCATAAGAATCTTATCCCCATCCCTTTTCACCAGACCCGTCTAGACAAGATGAAAACTATTCAGTGGGGATTCTACCTTTCTCTGCACCATCTGAAACTAAACTTCTTGAAAACGTGTAAGCCAGTCACTTAGTGATTTTATAGGCCCTCCCGCATTTTAGGCAGCCAATGTCTAAGTTGCCCTTCCCCATCAACCCTGTATAAAGAGAAGATAGGATTGATCCTTGTATGAAAACTTCTTTCCTCTCAGTTGGTATTTTGAGCTACTACATCTATAAATAAGGAGCTCTGGTAGCGTAGTGGTTACAAATCGGGCTGTGAACCGCAAGGTCAGCAGTTCGAAACTACCAGCTGTTCCACGGGAGAAAGATGAGGCTCTCTGCTCCTGTAAAGATTAACAGCCTCGGAAACCCTGTGCAGGGTCGCTATGAGTCAGAACCGACTCCATGGCACATAACAACAACAACATCTATAAATATAGGTCAAGTTCATCAAATTGTTGCAATTTACATTTGTTTCCTTTACCAAAAAAAATTTTTTTAAAATCTTCCTATAGTCAAGTTCTGATTAACAAGCCACTGAAGGTCAAATGGGTACTAGCTACAACTTTGGACATTCCTGTGCATCTCCCCTCACTTCATATCAGCTGGATGCTTCACTCTCAGCTCTAGCCCTCTGTGACTATGTCTTTGTCCATGGGCTCAGGTGTCCCCAGGTCTCACCACACTTTGGATCAACCATCCCTTCCTCTTCTCTCTCTCATCTCCAGGTTGATGAGAGTTTGTGGAACATGGATGAACTCAGCCCATTTCTTTATTGCTGCCTTTCCCCCTCTTCTACTCACCAGGAGACCAACATGGTCACCAGCAAGCTTACATACCTGCCAATGTGTTCCCTTTGAGTTTCAGTCTTGGAGGGGGGTTTGTCCTGAAGAGACTTGATTGCTTGCTTTGATGGTTATGGTGAAATCTTTTGATGCACATAATTGACTAATTTTTAGGAAGTCCCAGTCATCTATTTTGTTTTTGTGTGTTTTCTTTCAGTTATGTTTGATAGTGGATTTATGCCCTAAGTTTCTCCTTATGGTTTCATTGATGATCTTTATAAGTTTTAAATTTAGGTCTTTAATTCACTTTGAGTTTGTTTCTGCATATAGTATGAGATACAGGTCTTGTTTCATTCTTGTACAAATGAATTTCCAGTTTTGCCAGCACCACTTGTTAGAGACCTGATGTGGTGCTGTAGAACAAGCACGGGACCATGAGGTTGGATTGAACTGAAAGGTCAGTGGTTCAAACCCACCAGCTGCTCCTCAGAAACCCTATACAAGGTTGCTTTGAGTTGGAACATACTCGACAGCAATTAACAACAACAACAATTGGTTGAGGAGTCTCTCTCTTTTCCATCTAATGTATTTTGGCCCTTTTTCAAAGATCAGCTGACCAGAGGTGGATAAATCTGGGTTCTCAATTCTGTTTCATTGATCTATGTGTCTTTCATTGTACTACACCATTGATTCTAATCTACTCCTTTGTCCTTTCAATGTGTTATCCATTTCCCAGATCTTAGTATTAATCTTCTAAATTTCTATTTGCAGGTTTTGTATTGTTTTCAATCTCTCATATAGTTTGTCTTTTTTTTCCCGGTGTTTTCCTGAATTCTTCCAATGTTTTTTCTGTATTATCTTTGTTTTCCTCAATCTTTCTAATCTTTCATCAATCTGTTGAAGGTACCTAAACTTTTTTAAATTATTATTATTCTTTTTCAGGTAGTTCCAATGCCTTTCTTCCTCAGAATGTTTTTTGGTTCTGTATCTTGGTCACTTGTTTGAGCCACTGTGTCTGGTTTCTTCATGTAAATGAAAATTGTCTGTTGCCTCTAAGACATTGTGGTGTCATTGTAGTTGTATTAACTGATAATTTCTGTTGGTGTCCTCGTTGGCACTCACTAGCTGCCTCTTGGTGGGTGGGATTAGACAATGGAAGTGTGTGTCCAGTTCTCCAGTCACCATTTGTGTAGCTCAGTGTAGGGTGGGTGTGGTTGCTGTTGGCTGTGGAGATTGTTGATCAGATGGTATTGACTGTTGATAATTGGTGGGCCACAGAGGGTATGGTTGTGGCTGAACTGTATGGGTACAGTTGCTGCCCACCACTGGGTGGGGCAAGAATAGAAAACACACACACACAAGAGAGAGAAAAAAACAATAACAAATGAGCAAAAAACAACAGTGGAAAAAAGTAATAAAGGAGAAAAAAGAAGAAAAACCAATAGCAAGAAAAAAATAATGTAGTAACCAAAAAGAGAAAAGAGGGAAAAGAAAATAAAGCCACAGAAGAGAAGAAAGAAAGAAAACAAAAGCACTGAACACAATTAGGGAGAGGGAAGATGAAAACAGAATGAGATCAGAAACTCTTAAAGAAAAATTAAGATCCCAAACAAGAAGAAGAGCAAATGAAATTAGAGATAAAAAGGATGAAAACAAGGAAGGAGAAGAGGAGAAAAAGAAGAAAGAATAGGCAAAGAAAAACAATGAAAGAAAAAACCAGGGTGTGTGCTGGACTCAGAGAGGAGAAAACTTTGGGGCTCCTGCTTGCTAAGGAGTAGTGAGTGAGTGGGCAGAATGAGATGGCGGTGCTTCTGGCCCTAGATGGAATTCCCGTAACTTAGATGTTGTCTATGTTCAGGGCACCCAATCTGAAAGTAGTTCATGCAGGCCCCAAAGCTAGCTGGGATCAGGGTTTTTCAGGTTCAGAGGGCAGCCATAGGCAGGCTGGTCACCCAGGTGAGCTCCCCCTGGTCCAGAGCTGTCAGGATTTACCCTGTTTGAATCACAGCTTACCTGAATCCAGGCACTGAGGATGGTGCCCAGAGCTCCCAGTTCACAATGATGGCGGCACACAGCAACACAGCTCTGGCCCCCTGGAGAGCCGGAGCTGCGCTGCATGTGGACAGGGTGCAGACTGACCATGCCTTTGGTCACCAGGGGAAAGTGGGGAGCAAGAAAGAGTAGCACCTTTCTCGTTTCCAGTCACTAATGTGAATCTGTGCCTCCAAACCACTGTCACCTCCAAAGCTGCTTGCATAAATTCAAGATGGTCCCACTTCCTGTGGTCATCTGACACAGTTCATCTGGGTATCTTCTTTCTTTGCCTCGCCTTTCTTTGTTCAATCTCTTCTAGTAAACATTCAAGCTGCTTCTCTATCTCTTCCTCTTTAGTTTAGGGGTCCAGGTCTATCATCAGCATCTGTTTCCTTTGGTCTTCCAAAGTTTTGTTATGGTGTGTCTACCCAGTCTGCCATCTTGCTGGAAGTCCTCTTAGCAGTTTTATGGTTTTCAGTATACAAGTTTCTCACCTTCTTAATTAAATTTATTCCTAGGCATTTTATTCTTTCAGATCTTATTATAAATGAAATGATTTTCTTAAATTTTCTTTTCAGAGTGTTCATTGTAGGCATACGTTGTTATTGTATGCCGTTGAGTTGGTTCCAACTCATAGCAACCCTGTGTAGGGTTTCTGAGAGTGGCTGGTGGGTTTGTTTGAACTACGAAACTAGTACTTATCCTGCAGCGGCCCACCAAGACTCAGGTGAACAGAAACTTAATTTCTGTGTGTCCATTATGTACCATGCAACTTGGATGAATTAAAGTTCCTTTTTGGAGTGATGGAAATGTTCTAAAATTAGATAGTAGTGATGGTTGTACAACTTTAAGTAGATGAAAGGTCAGTGGCATATACACTGAACTGAGTGAATTGCATGGCATGTGAATTGTATCTCACAGTTTTGTTGTTTTTAAAGAACTTCTAGTTTCTGAGTAGAGAATAGGCTGAAGGGAACAAGAATAGGAGGTGAAGACAGGAAGCTATTATAGTCTCTCAGGCAAAAGAACACAGGAGCCTGGGCTTGGGGGACATTGAGGAGCTGGAGAGAGGGTAAGGTTCAGCAGGCATTTTGTGGGGGCCGAGAGATCAGACTAGAGTGCATGGTGAGAGGAAGGACAAGTATCTGCTTTGGGATTGAGCTCAGGTAGATGGTGGTGCAGGGAGAAGCCTCAGTTTAGTCTCAACCACGAAGAGACTTGCCTGACCTGCCCATGTGAGGACAGGCCCATGGAGGTGAGGTCCCCTCCCTCGGGTTCACAGTTCCAGACATGAGTTATAAAGCTGGGGGTCATCAGCCTCTAAATGGCATTTAAAGCCACGGGATTCAATGAGATCATCAAAGGAGAGAGAAGAAAAGCAGCCTTTGGCCCATGTGGGTTACAGCCACAGATGTGCACCTGTGGAGGCGGCCGTGCTCTGAGTGCTGAGTGCCTTTGTCTGGACTCACAGAGGCCGGGGCTCTGCTTAGCCAGAAACTAGATGCATTTTAGCATCATGACAGTCTTGGTGAAACATGCATGCTGTCCAAGTGGGAAAAAAAGATATGTTTCCTGGGGTCAGAAAAGGCCTCTGGGAACTCTGCCCAAGAGGACAGCTACAGTTTCAGTTTCATGGTGCCAGGGTCCTGGGTTATCTAGCTTGACTGACCAGCAGGGGCCTTTGGACAGGGACCAATTACCTGGCACTGCTCCCAGTTGGTCTGGGAGGGGGACATTTTTACAAATTCCCCAGGTGACTCTGATGCACTTAGAATCCCTGGGCTGGAGCGATTCCTTGCTGGGTTTTCTGGTAGGAGTTTTTCTGGAGAGCTGAGCACTGAATACCTAAATCCAAAAGAATTCCAAATCTTCCCTCCACCATTCCCCTGTTGCTCATTCAGGACTGGAGACAGAATTTCATTGGCAAAGACAGCCAAATCCCACACATGTTACCAAAAAGACGAAAAAGAATGTGACATTTGGGGTCTTCTAGAGGTCAGTGTGAGGCATGGGCTGACAGTACCCCTCACATTTAGTTTAAACTATGATGAACCATTTTCGTTTGATCAAGACCCCACCTGAACCGGGGAAGACACATCTCAGATGACCCTGGGAGATTGTTTATTGCATAAACTCTGATATTATTTGTGGACTTCTGATGTTTTAACTGCATATGAGTAGAAGATTGTTTTATTATGACCATCAAAAAGCATGAAAACCCTTATTATATAGGAGGTAAGTTGTTATCTTGGGAGATAGAAAACTCAGTGGAATGTGATAATCCAAAAACAAAGAAGTGAATGAAAAAGTTTTGTCTTTAAGAGCTTGAGTTACTCGTCAAACTTTGAATTGAAACGATCCTCTAAAGTCATCTTTAAACTAAGTAACAGTTTATTTCAAAGAGTAAAGATTAAAGATGGTCACTTTTCAGTATTGCTGGTATGACACTGTAGAAGAAGAACTGGACCAAAGTCATTGAACTGCAAAGTCTGCATTGCAAACTCACTGACCACACCTTGGAAGCCTATAAAGGGTGGCTATGGGTCAGAACCGACTCAGCGACACTTGGCAACATCAACAACAACATATATATAGAGATCTATCTATCTATCTATCTATCTATCTATCTATCTATCTATCTATCTATCTACTATCTATCTATCTAGTTGTTGTTGTTGTCAGGTGCCCTCGAGTCGGAACCGACTCATAGCGACCCCATGCACAGCAGAACAAAACAATGTCCGATCCTGGGCCAACCTCACTACTGCCGCCACACTTGATGCTATCAAGGATGTCACCTGGCTGATCCATCTCGTTGGGGGTCTTCCTCTTTTTCTCTGACCCTCCACCTTACCCAGCATGACATCCTTCTCCAGAAGTGATTCCTGGTGTGGCACTGTAGGATAAGCACTGGATTGCAAACCACAAGGTCAGTGGTTTAAACCCACTAGTTGCTCCTCAAAACCCTGTAAAGTTGCTATGAATCAGAATCGATCGACAACACGTAACAACATAAATATAAATTATTTATATAAACCAAAGGGTCAGCAGCTATTGTAAAGTCTAAATAAGAAGGCTGAGTTGAAGGACAGAGATTGTAAGTAAATGGAAATGAAACAACTGAAACAGAATAAGGAGAATATCAACACAGTGTGAAGACTGTAACCAATGTTTGTTGTTGTCGTTCTTAAGTGCTGTTAAGTCAGTTCCACTCCATAGCGACCCTGGATAGGGTTTCCTAGGAGCGGCTGGTAAGCATCAACTGTTGACCTTGTAGTCCAGTGCATTAACCTATAGCACCACAGAAGCTGTGAAATGGGAGTGGGTCTTATTGTGTATATTTTCACCAAAAATAAAATTAAATATTCTAAAAAAAGTTTTCGTGTCTGAAAGGACTCAGTCGGGGTGGGGGTGGGGTGCTGACTGGAAGCAGCACAAAGGAGTTTTCAAGGTGCTGGAAATAGTCTCTAAATTGAGGAGGTTGGTGTATGGTGTTGTTATTGTTGTTGTTAAGTGCTGTTGAGTCAGTTTAGACTCATAGTGACCCTGTATAGGGTTTCCGAAAAATAGCTGGTAGGTTTGACCCACTGAGCTTGCAATTAGCAGTCCAGTGCTTATCCTACAGTGCCACACCAGGACTCTTTGTTGTTATTTGTTGTTAAGTGCCATTGAGTCAGTTCCGACTCATAGTGACCCTATATAGGGTTTCTGATGAGTGCCTGGTGAGTTTGAGCCACCAACCTTGAGGTTCAAATGGACCTTGCAGTCCAGCGCATTATCCCACAGTGCTACACCAGATTGTTTTGTTGTTAGGTGCCATCTAGTCGGTACCGACCCATAGCAACCTTATGCACAGCAGAACGAAACACTGCCCGATCCTGGGCCAACCTCACTACTGTGGCCATGCTTGAGTCCATTGATGCTGCCACTTGGCCAATCCATCTCGTTTGGGGTCTTCCTCTTTTCCTCTGACCCTCCACCTTACCAAACATAATATCCTTCTCCAGAGACTGCTCCCTCCTGACAATATATCCAAAGTATGAGAGACGAAGTTTGGTCATCTTGGCCTCCAAGGAGCACTCTGGCTGCACTTCTTCAACACAAATCTGTTTGTTCTTTTGGCAGTCCATGGCACTTTCAATATTTTCCTCCAACACCATAACTCAAAAGCATCAATTCTTCTCTGGTCTTCCTTATTCACTGTCCAGCTTTCACATGCATATGAGGTTATTGAAAATACCTTGGCTTGGATCAGACGCACCTTAGTCCTCAAGCTGACATCTTTGCTCTTCAACACTTTAAAAATGTCTTGTGCAGTAGATTTGCCTAATGCAATACGTCCTTTGATTTCTTGACTGCTGCTTCCGTGAATGTTGATAGTTGATCCAAGAAGAATGAAGTCCTTGACAACTTCAATCTTTTCTCCGTTGATGGTAGTGGTTATGTGCCGTGGAGTCAGTTCCTACTCATAGTGACCCTGTACAGGGTTTCCGAGGCTGTAAATCTTTACGGGAGCAGAAAGCCTCATCTTTTTCCAGTGGAATAGCTGGTAGTTTCAAACTGCTGATCTTGAGGTTGGCAGCCTGATTCATAACCACTACGCTACCAGAGGTCTAGTCAAATTGATTTAGGCTTATAGCCACCTTATGTGACAGAGTAGAACTGCCCCCATATGGTTTTTTAGGCTGTAATAGTTACAAAAGTAGATCCCTGGGTCTTCCTCTTACAGAACAGCTGGGTGGGTTTGAACTTCCAACCTTTCCATGAGCATCTGAGCTCTTAGTCATTGTACCACCAGGGCTGCTTTACAAGAGTATAATCACAAAAAGCAAACCACACCCACTGTCATTGAGTGATGCTGCATATGGTTTAGAGACTGCAAACCTTTAAAGGAAAACTTCTTGTTAGGTGCCGTCGAGTCAGTTCTGACTCATAGAGACCCTATGCACAACAGAATGAAACACTGTCTGGTCTGGTCCTGTGTCAACCTCATAATTGTTGTTATATCTGAGCCCATTGTCGTTCCCAGTGTGTCATTTCATCTTACTGAGGGTCTACATCTTTTTCACTGACGCTCCACTTTCCCACTATGCCATTCCATCTCATTG